TTTTATTTATATCTAGTCTTTTAACATGAATTAAAACAGACAGGGGAGAGCGAGAGAGAGAGAGAGAGAGAGAGATATGACCAGAATTAAAAAAAAATGCACAAAAGACCGAAAGTGCAATGCGATTAGATAGTATATATATATATATATATATATATATATATATATATATATATATATATATATATATATATAATTTATTCGAAAATATGTTATAATATCACTATAAAATAGCCATTCTATTGTAACACTTCTGGTCGCTTATCAAGTGAAAATAAAGATATAAAGATATCTAGTAAACGAAAAACTGGATAAGACACAAGAAGTGTTAAAATGGTTGTTTTTTAGCGATTTCATAATATATTTATGTTATAATTCTCGAATAATTTATATTTGCTTTACTCTGTATTGAGCACACTTTTAAGAATAGTATTTTTTGGTCATTGGATTTTATTCCGTATGCACCAATTCTATCCTTGTATATATATATATATATATATATATATATATATATATATATATATATATCAAAAAGAAGACAGTACCCACAAACGTTTTGGTTCTAATGTGGATTTTTCTTAAATATATTATGCTTCATTTTCTATAATTTTGCATAAATTTCCATAACTTTTGCATAAAACATAATATATATTTTTTAAGAAAATCGACATTACAACCCAAAATTTTTAATATCCTCACTTTTCTCTCGTTGAACTACTATAACCTCTTTATATATATATATATATATATATATATATATATATATATATATATATATATATATATATATATATATATGAGAACGATATATATTTTATATATCAAGGACAGTATAATGGAAACTGTATGAGAAAGTGGAATAGTTTAATTGTGGTTCATATCGTCCTTCAAAACTTCATTGGACTAAATTAGTTATGTTGGTGCGACTACACATGAGCACGAACTGTTTATTATTATCTAAGTCTTTTATTGCTTACGATATAGTAGTTATTTTCTGTTCAATGCGGAACAAAAATATTCCAAAACAATAAACGACCCTTCCTGAAAATCCTAGTGATTCAACAATAATATTTTCCTACAAACTATCTCTGTCACATAAGAAAGAATCTAGCTAAACTCAACATAAAATGTGTTACTATGCCATCCGAAACAATAAAAAAAAAGCTTAGTCAATACTAAACAAAACTTAAAAGAGGAATTTACACCATCGCATGTAATAATTGTCAGAAATATATATAGGAAAATCTCAAGATTATATGAACACAAAAGGGATAATTTACAAAACGATGCGTCAGATGCAATGGTTTCCCACCGTAACGAGACTGACTATAATTTTGACATAAATAATGCTACTCTGATCAAAGGAGAAATAATTCACTAGGACTTAAATACCTTGAGGGTGACTTGATCACGAGGTCTTCTACAAAATTTTACCATATCTGATAGATCTTCTAATATCACATTGTGGGATACGTACTAACAAAATTTATGGAAAGAAAAAAAAAACTTTTGGGGTATAAATGGCGGTTGCATTTAGCTGTTTCAACAATAACTGGGTGGGAACTAGTTGCCAATTTAATAGCACGCTTAGATTCATGTAGTCGGAACACCAGTGAATAAAAGCTCATAAGAGCAGTTGCCATAAAATATTTTAAGAAAAGCCACAGGGAGACTACATACTATCTTTGAGAAAGTGACTGAAGTCGTGATGTTTAGTATCGATTGTATTACAGATCTGTCGTTGGACTTCGTCAAGAATCTCACGGTTTACTGCAGGAGTACCAGACCAGATATGGCAACAGAATTTTTATCATAGTGGATTAAAATGGTTCGCAGTAAATATCCTATTCAATAGTTTTTGCTTGCCACTTGCCCGTTGGCCTGTTCCCTAGAGGACAACGCACTGCGTATTAGAAGGGAATCATGGCGTGTGTCGAGAAGGTTTGCTTTTTTTTTATAGGTTTTAAGATTGAGTCGCAATTGGAAATAGTCAGAGAAGTCGATATTTAATGTATTTCAAAATGACCCACACCTGCAAGATTTTGCACCCAAATCAAAATATTTTCCCATGTAGCCTACATTTGGCTGTGATTGTGTTCTGGTATAACCTTATCAAACTCTGTCATGATTGATATATTGTGTTTCACATCGTTGTAACCCAGCGTCAGTTTCTATTATTTTGGGGGGGGGGCGTGCAGATCGCTTGCGAATAATAATAATTTGAGAGCTATATAGACTTAAAATACAAAATGAAGAGAATATTGAATTGCCAAAAGGTAGATAGTGTGTCTATTGTAATCTGAGCATAACGAAGAAGGTCAGAAAAATCAACCCCCCCGTTTAAAGTATTAGTTTTACCAGTGGGTTTTTCTGTATTACAGAAGACCCGTTTCCTTGTTACACCACTGACAATCAGAAAAGTACTGAATAACTAAGACCGCGGGATGTATATTGATATCCACTAAGTGCAAAATCAGCTAATATCAATAATAAGCAGTGTAAAAAGAGAAATTTTAATAAAAATAATATTAATAATAATAATAATAATGAGACGAAGAAGAAGTAAAAGATGAAGAAGAAAGTAAAAGTAGAAGAAAAAATTAAAAGAAGAAAAAATAAAAGAAGAGAAAGAAGGAAGTAAAAGAAGAAGAGGAAAGGAGAAGTAAAGAAGAAAGGAAAAGATGAAGAAAGAGAATAAAGTAAAGGAAGAAGAAAAAGACGAAAAAGTGGAAGAAAAAGAAGAAGAAGAAGAAGTAAAAGAAGAAATTAAAAGAAAAAGAATAAAGTAAAAGAAGAAAAAAGGCAAAAAAGAAGAGGAAGAAAAAGAAGAAGAAATGAAAAGAAGAATAAAAAAGTAAAACAAAAAGAAGATAGTAAATGAAGAAGGAAAAAGAAGAAGGGAGTAAAAGAGGAAGAAGAAGAAATAAGAAGAAGAATAAGTAAAAGAAGAAGAAGAAATTAAAGGAAGAAGAACGGAAAAGAAGTGGAAGAAAAAGGAAGTGAAAGCAAAAGATGAAAGTAAAAAAGAAGAGGGAAAAAGAAGAGGGAAAAAAGAAGAAAAAGTCGAAGAAGAAAAAGAAGCAGAAGAAAAGTAAAAGAACAAGAAGAAAGTAGAAAAGAAGAAAAAAGAAAATGAAGAAAAAAAAAGAAAAGGAAGAAAAAAGAATAAAAGAAGAAGTAAATTAAAAGAAGAAAAAAGAAGGAAAAGAAGAAGAAAGGAAAAGAAGAAGAAGAAGAAGAAGAAGAAGAAAGTAAAAGAAGAAGATGAAGAAAAAGACGAAAAGGAAGAAGAATTAAAAGAAAGTAGAAAAAAAGAAGAAGAAGGATAAGAAAGTAAAAGAAGAGGAAGAAAGTAAAAGAAAAAATTCCATGATAAAAATGCTCGTATTATTACCTTATAAAAGAGAAGCTTTAATGAGAAATATAGTAATAAAAGCATCTATAAAATGGAGGCCACAATCTTATACGGAGTCAATTAAAACAATCTTCGGAAACTCACAGGAATACCAATGCAATGTTAACATTTTATTACCTGTATTTGGGAACATCGTCTTTTACAGGACAGAAAACCTTGATAAGGAAAAGTCCTCCACAGCGATTTCCGGAAACTGTCATTGTTGAACATATAAACCCGCAACGTTCTCTATGAAGGAAATGATTGAAGGCTACGATAGTCGAATACAAGTAAATCAAATTTATTATGAGAATTATGAAGAAAAATATTTTGTCTCCATTCTGAAATATTCAACATCTTGTCCTAAACGGGGGAAAGCCATACGTGAAATTCAGTTGGAATTATTTCATACGAAGTTTTTATTCAATGTTACTGCACAACATTACCAAGTTCAATAAGATTTTTGAAGGATATATTGGAAAAGTAAAACCGTTTATTTGGCCAAGGGTATCGACCTATGATTTTGCTGCAGGAACACAATCGTACTATTATTGCAGATGATACTTAACGCAAAAATCTCGACCAAAAATACAGAAGTTGTTTCATATACAGCGCATGTTTCCCACATGTGGTGTCTTCTCACATGTTGCATACTCATTTCACACCCAGCGTCATCTATTAAAAAATAGCTCACTTTTCCCACAGATAACGTCTTTTATTCACATGTCGTGTTTCTATTACGATGTAGCCTACTTTTTTAACAAATATAGCATAACATTTTCCACATGTAGCATATCCTTATCCACATGTGGCGCACTATTTTCCACACGTAGCGCCTTCTATTCACATATAGTGTGGCGTTCGCATGTAGCCTCTTCTGCTCAAATGTAGCGGCTTCTGTTCACACGAGGTGCATTTTCAACATGTAATACCTTCAATTTATATGTAGCGCCGTCTATTTACACATAGTATGCTCTTTCTACGTGTAGCGGGTTTTTTCCTTCTTCTGGTAACATGTAGCATGGATCTATCAAATTCAGGAAATACTACACACAAACAACGATATTTCTTTTCTATTGAAATAAGCAGATAAACTGAAAAGTGACCTAAGGACTTAGAAATCCAGCGAAAATAATTTGATGGATAAATGATACCGCTCTGAATTTATATGAATAAAAGATTTAGCTAAAAAAAACTTCTGTAAACATTTGCATCAAACACATGAAATAATAAAAACTAAAAGAAGAACAGGAAAATAAAAAAAGCTGTTGAAGACATTTCTAAATACGAGAAATACGATTTTTTTTTCTGTAGTTAGAAAGGGAAAACAGATGATGTATTGGTGAGGTCTTCGACAATAATGATGAATAAAAAGATTTGAAATAAATATAATTAGGATGAGAAATATAAGCTTATGTTGGTTTAAATTGTTGGTATTTGTAGCATTTGTTTGCAATTACGTTATTCCAGGCTATAATTTTATTTACTTGTTTTTCTATATTCTACTTTCAAATGAATTCATGCAGAGAAAGTGATAACAAATTGGATGCGAATCGGCAAAATAGAAGAAAACATATTGAAAAAAAGAGGATAATGGCAGTGAGATTTAGAAAATATGCTTAGATCGAGATAGATAGATAGATAGATAGATAGAGAGAGAGAGAGAGAGAGAGAGAGAGGGGGGAGAGAGAGAGAGAGTATTTAAAAAATATGACAAACTTTCTTCTTTCATCCGTCGGAATTTCACCCGACTTTGAATGTAACGCGTCACAAAAAAAAAATAAAAATAAAAAAAAATAAAAAAAAAAATTAAATAAATAAATAAAATAAAAACTTGTCATTTTATCATATTTTTCTAAATGCTGTTTGTTGATATATAAAATTATAGAAAATTACATGTCTTTATATCATAGAGAGATACGGAGATGACTAAAAAAATTAAACAGAAATAGATAGATAGATAGATAGATAGATAGATAGATATGAACAGGATGAGATAGATAGATAGATAGATAGATAGATAGATAGATAGATAGATAGATAGACAAATAGATAGATATGGACAGGATGAAATACATAGACATGGACAGGATGAGATAGATAGATAGATAGATAGATAGATAGATAGATAGATAGATAGATAGATAGATATAGACAGGATGAGATAGATGACTAAAATGTAGCATAACGCCGAATGTATTATTTTCTAAGCGTAGCTTATACTTGGTATAAGGCCGAATGCATGTAGTACTCAGGAAAAATCGAAATCTCTATTCAGTTGTAATTGATCTTGCTAATAATTACAGCTTGTCGAGGCGCCCCTATCGGATTGAAATGGATTGAAATGTATACTAAATATTTCTACACATACACACGTAGAGTAGACATGCATATGGTAAAGTGTCTCAAATTATATTTCGACATGTATTTCGCCAAGTAATTATAGCCGCCGCCCTCCGACTTCGATTAATGCTGTTATTTACTTCTTCTCCAATGTTATTTTATTTCTTCCCCAATGTATAGTGAGTGTGAGTCCTGGTACGGCATTACATTCTCTTGCGTAAACGTAGCAACGTTGGTTCCCCAGGTCAATCGGTTTTATCATAAAATTTAGTGAACGTTCAGTGCGTAGCATCTTTTATCATTTTTTAAGTTGGCCCTTCTGAGACAGATCCGACCAGTCCTGGGTACGACTAATTACTTCGTCCGGCAGCAAGGCCTCTGATCGGCAGATAGGATTTCAGGGGCGCAGGAACCAACTCTTAATTGCTGATGTTCCCAAGTAAACCCTGAAATGATCGTTCCGGCATACAGAAAGAAAAATGAAAGAGGAGTAGTAATGATATTCGAACAAGATATCAAGAATTTTGTTCTGGTATACCATCAACGATCTGAAAGAATTATTGTGGTTAAACTGAAAGGAAAGCCTTTCAACGTATCCATCACTGTTGTATAGGTACCAACAATACAAAGTAGTGAAGAAGAAATTGAGCAGTTTTACTCTACGGTAGGCAACGGCAAGGCTTATTGAATACTAGCAGTAGAGCCCGGTGTTGCCCGGGGATGTAACAGTAAGAGATAGAGCAAGTATCGACGATCATAAAGACTGAAAAATAAAATTGACAAAGATTATTGTTTAAGGTTGACAGACATGTCTTAATTAGTTTTATTTTATTTTATTTTTTTTACGAATTGGTCAACCCCAAACTCAAACAAAAACATTGTTTTCAATCGTTATGAGTCTACCGATTGAATAGAATTTTATTGTAAACAATTGTATTATAAACGGAATTTTTAAAGCATTCTGAATGTAAAAATAAAGAAAAAAGTGTGCAAGACAATAAGAAACACTACCTGCCAAAAAAGTGAAGTTTTGTTGAAATCTGTTGAAAAATGTAGGAAATCCGAACCCATATATAAACGAACACACACACACACACACACACACACACACACACACACACACACACACACACACACACACAGAACCAACCTGATTTTTATAATAAGTATAATTCGATAACTCGATATTAATAAGTATAACTCGATATGAGTTGTCCCCCTTTCATTAATGCCTCTTAATCGTGTTTTCAAATCGATTTCGTGCAAAAACAATTGTGTTTTTTCAATTTTGGGCGCTGTCAGAACCACCGCAAGGTAATTTTACGTAGTCCTGTGAAGTTTTGTTGAAATCGGTTGAAAAATGTAGGAAATCCGATCCAATATATAAACGTACAAACACACACACACACACAATCTGTGTTTTATAATAAGTAAGGTCGCCAGAAATTACAATCGTTATCGGAGACATGAATTCCAAAGTAGACAACGAGAGAGATGGTGAAATAGTTGACAAATCAAGACAAGGAACTTGTAATGAACACAGGGAGAAATGGGTCCAATGATGCACATAGAATGATCAGGTAGAAGACAACACCTGGTTTCAAGAACACTAGACGTATATGGACATGGGTAAACTCAGAAGTAGAAACGAAATACCAAATCGACTGTGAAACTACGGAAATTGAAGAGAGCCTATGCAGCAGCCAAATAGCAATACGACATACTTCTGTATGACCCAAATGTGAAGGACAGTTATATGAAGAGTGTTTAAAACAGATGCAACCGGCAAAATAAGAATGTAAACTCGAAAAAGGACAGATTAAGTGAAGCTTTAGTGACATCAGAGATTGGGTCATCCTAGAGAAGAATAGACAAAGGAAAAAAGATAGATAATATTCTAGACATGAGGACAAATGAGAACAAATGCGATGTCAAGGTACGGCACAGTATACAAGACTCTGCACAAATAAATTAGGAACAAATTGCACCTATAAAAAGAATACCTGCTCGGCCCGGTGACTAGGATCAAAGTGTAGTATCTGCGCTTTGTGAGCTGCCGGGTCGGGTGTCTGTCGAACTCTCTACTTGCAGAGAGGAACCCGGACGAGGCTCCGCCGAAGGGTAGGGTTTCGTTGGGAGAGGTTGACGGAACTGGCCCGCCTCGGCGGGTTTGGATGGTTATTTATTTTTGGCTGGGCCTACGGGCTCAGAGATACCCACATTAAAAAGGCCTTGTGCCACATTCGATCCCCGTGGGTGGATTGATAAATACCATAAATTAGGAACAAATGCTAGCAGGCTAAAGAGGACTGACTCAACGAAAAATGTGTAGAAATAGAAGAAATGAGTATCAGAGATAACGGCAGATATATATAAAAATAACAGGACAACAGGATGTATAAAATCAAAAGACGGGAAACTGATAGTTGAGAAACAATAATACTTCAGAGACAAAAAAATGTATCGGAGACCTCTTCCAAGTGAACCACCGGGCAATCCACAGAAATAACAATGGACCAAAAATTAAAATCTGAAGTGGAATCAGTATTGACCAAAATAAACAGAAATTAAAGCAGATAAGTGATAATGGCGGCCGCAGAAATTTTCGGCAATGACATGTTTATAGACATAATAAATAAAATACATAGCAGTGACGATATAAGTAGCTCTATTTGCTTAGCACTGCCTAAGAAACCAAGTGCATACGAATGCAAACACAATCATCCTAATGAGACATATATAACAAAACTTATGCGAATTCTCTTGAATAGAACGCGAAGACAAATCAGTTTTGAAATCTTACAAAGATCAGTGCAGGTTCGTTAAAGACACTGAAATAAAGAATGTGATAATTATGTCCAGAGTTATATCAGAAAGAACAAAACACATGTAGATGGGGAATTACCAGTGTTTTATAAATTTTGTAGAAGGGTTTGATAAAGTACGTCAAAAAGAACCGTTGGTAACCTTGACATATTTGGGAAGGATATTAAAATAATCCAGAATCTATACCGGCAGCAATTCGTCTACATACGTATAAAAAAATGGATTCAGTAAGTATAGGGAAATAAAAAGGCGTGTAAGATAGGGATGGGTCCCCTCTCAGTGAACTCATTCGATCTGTAAAGTGAGTCCTACCAGAATTCATTATTGGCTGCCATATTCTTAACAAGATAAAATGTCACAGTTTTGATACCAGACATAAAAAGGCAACTAAAAGGACTCCCCAAGAAGGTAGTGAAAGAAAGCGAGAAGAAAGGATTAAACAACGATAAACACCAGTAAACATTTAAACTGGAAGAAAACGGAAAGCATAGATGTTAGCAAAAGGAACAGCTCAAAAATATCAAGTATGAATACGGGCGTAAAGGGCAGACCGTGTTTGCAAAATAAAGCATTCTAACAAATCTACATATATAACTAAAAGAATCTAAGTAAAACTAAATTCATACTTAATAATCGCCAAAATTATGGCCGAAAACGATTGCACATACACAGCATTCAAACAATTAAGACATTATTTATGAACAGAAAAGAAGAAAATTGCATGAACACACGGACTATTAAATATAACTCTTAACCGCTGCACCTTATCAGTCAGTTTCAATGAAACTTGTATATATATATATATATATATATATATATATATATATATATATATGAAATATTTATTAACATTTATAGCCTAAACATTTTACAAACCGCTACGTAAATGTAATCATATTTCTGCAGTGTATGTGGTACTTTAAGGGGATGAACACCCCCTGACCAGGGACATACAGTGATAAAAAAAGACTGTATTTATGTAGCGGTTTATAATATGTTTTTGTTATAAATATTAATAAATATCATATATATATATATATATATATATATATATATATATATATATTAACCTATACTCTGTATTGAGCAGTTTATAAAAATTATGTTTGGACATTGGAATTAACCTTCCGCACAATTGTATATATATATATATATATATATATATATATATATATATATATATATATATGTGTGTGTGTGTGTGTAATACCGTTCGTTCGTATGTAAAGTTGCACCAACACCACAATGTTAGTTCGATGAAGCCCTAAAGGAAGAAGCGAGTCACAATAAAATATTTTACACTTTGTCATTCATTTTACCCATATACATATATATAAAATAAAATATTTTACACTTTGTCATTCATTTTACATTTATATATATATATATATATATATATATATATATATATATATATATATATATATATACATGCTGTTGTTAATAAAACAGTGCTCGATATAACAGACCCGTTAAGTATATATTAATAAAAATAGATATTTTCCATCGGTGCTGGATAATCTATATATATATATATATATATATATATTCAAAGCTTTATCCCTTTTCTGTAAGTCGCTGTACGATCGAGATTTTTGCTTTTGTTCTTAGCATTTAGTGTTTACAAAAGTAGCTTCACAATAGAGCCACACTTATTCTTTCGTGAAAATCTCATTATTTGCGACTTTTTATTAAACAGACAAGGCCAGACCTGAACACTAGCCTTTTATCAATCCACCATATGTAGTGTACTTAAATAATAAACACTATGCTGATGAGCATATATGTGTCACTGTTGTCAGCAGATAGCACACGGTAAAAAAAAAACGACTTGTTTGTTGTCTGAAATTAAGTGTATGGTTTTAGTAGTTCGGATCTTTGTTGATAACGACACAATACTTTGAGCAATTGCTTCTCCAGACGTCTAGAGTTGTGTGTGGTAAATGGTAGATTAATTGACTAAAATAGAAGGAAAGGTACGAATATACCGAGAGTTTTGTAAA